CATTGATTCTCTAAACTTTGAATCTGCTCAAGCACGCTGACCATTAGAGAACTGGATTGCCATTCCACCCTCTTCAGCTTATTGAACAGTTAAAGTAGTTGCTGTAGATTTCCCGGGCTGTCTTGCCGTGGTCTTGGCATTGTAGGACCTGATGTTTCGCCAGTAGCTGTGACTGGCATCCTCAGAGGTATAACACAGAAAGACGGAGTACTCTCTGTATCAAGGTGAGAAGGAAAATGGTAGGGCTGTCATTATCTTGTAGGAGTAGAAGTTGACGTGATTGGGCACGAAATTTGTGTACGAATTTTAAAGTCAGGTTTTCAAAGCAACATTGGGACCCCGCAGGAAGGAGGAAGGCAGCGGCACCATAGCTTTGAGCTGCAGCCAGCTCTTGAAGCATTGAGGGTTTTTCTAGTTTGGGAGAAAAATGATAGGTGACCCAGTAAAGGTTTATAAAACCAAGGTGCAACTGACCTATTTACGCTTGTCACGCAGTTATCACCTGAGAGCCAGTTTGGTGTAGTGGTTAGGAGTGCAGACTCTGATCTGGGAGAACCGGGTTTGATGGTTTGATTCCCCACCCCTCCACTTGCAGTCAGCTGGGTGACCTTGGGTCAGTCATGGCTCTCTCGGAGCTGTTCTCTCAGGAGCAGTTTCTGTCAAGAGTTCTCTCAGGCCCACCTGCCTCACAGGGTGTCTGTTGTGGGGAGGGGAAGGGAAAGGAGACTGTAAGCCGCTCTGAGACTCCGAGTGAACGGCGGGGTATAAATCCAATCTCTTCTTCTAAGAGGAGGAGAGTTACTGGAATCTGAGTTGCAGTATAAACACCAGTTTGGTGTAGCAGTTAAGTGCACGGACTCTAATCTGGGAGAACCGGGTTTGATTCCCCACTCCTCCACTTGCACCTGGCCGGATGACCTTGGGCAAGCCGTAGTTCTGATAAGAGCTGTCCTTGAAAAAGAGCTGTTTCTGTTAAGAGCTCTCTCAGCCCCACCCACCTCACAGGGGGTCTCTGTTGTGGGGAGGGGAAGGGAAAGGAGTTTGTAAGCCGCTCTGAGACTCCTTTGGGTAGTGAAGGGCGGGGTATGAATCCAATCTCTTCTTCTCTTCTTAGAGCTGTGATATAGGGCAATTCCCAGCTAGTGTATATATATATAGAGAGAGAGTGCGCAAGTGCTATTTCGATTCTCAGAAACACCAAATTTCTGAAAAACAAATCCATAAGGGAAGGATAATCAGAATACAATGCCAAATCTGCAAAGGTAAATCGACATGAGTGCATGTCTTTGTAGCCTTCTAAACTTGTGATTGTCTCCTCCACCGCCTGTCAGCCATTTCAGGGTGGTGCTCATTCCCAAAATGTCCATAGTGTCAGTAAGATTAGAGGCCCCTGCTCCATAGCTTGGACCTAATTAGCCATGAAACATTTGGCTTCTGCACCTCACCCTCCCTCCTCCGCCTCCCGGCTTCCTCCAAAACGCAGAGGGAAGGGAGAATCAGTGGAAATTAACCCCCCCTTCTTATGGCGACAGAAGTGTCTTTCCTTGAATGCTGTGGTCCCCAGCTTTTTAAAAGCCTTGAGCATTCTGATTTTTAACCTATTGTTCCAGTATGGGGTTGCCAGATGATCAGGGAAAACAGAGTCCTTTCTGCTCTTCTGCCTTTCAACAGCCACCTGAGCTGAAAAGATCTGCCAGGTGAGGCTTCAGGTCACCCGGGGCTGAGCCGTGTTGCCCATAAATGCTTAAACATCAAGTTGCTGTTAAACTAGAAGCAGGATAAAGATCTATTTGTACACAGCTCTGGGAAAAACCCCTGAAGAAGGAACGCAGCAGTCCCAGTGCAAACGCACGGTGACTTATCAAGGACAGCATTGTCTACTCAGACTGGCAGAGGCTCTCCAGGACTGGTGGAGTCTGTCCATCTCCGAGTCAGATAAGACAGTGATATGATCTCGGAGAGGGGGCAGGGAGCAAGAAAAACAGATGTCTCCAAGGTGTGTGTGTGGGGGGGGAGATGAGCAAGCTTAGGAGCTTGGGAGGGGTTGAAAGGGAAACTCTTTTTCACTTTCGCTTCCCGCAGGATGGATGGATTGTGGAGTTTGGGAAAGCACTAAATGCTTTTGCTTTCCTTCTCCCTTTGGCAGAGTTGATAAACCATTCAGTCATTCTTCCCCCTCCCCCTCCTCCACCAGGTTGACAAGGGGGCAGGTAGATAGGGTTGCCAGGTCTGGGTCGGAAAATCCCTGGAGTCTTTGGGGGGTGGAGCTGGGAGAGGGTGGGGTTTGGGGAGGGGAGGGGCCGGGCCTTGGCATGGTCCAATGCCACAGAGTCCACCCTCCAAAGCAGCCACTTTCTCCTGGGGAACTGATCTCCGTCAGCTGCAGACCAGTGGTAAGAAAGCCAGTTTGGTGTCGTGGTTAAGTGCGCGGACTCTAATCTGGGAGAACCGGGTTTGACTCCCCACTCCTCCACTCGCGCCTGGCTGGATGACCTTGGGCAAGCCGTAGTTCTGATAAGAACTGTTCTTGAAAAAGGGCAGTTTCTGTCAAGAGCTCTCTCAGCCCCACCTGCCTCCCAGGGTGTCTGTCGTGGGGAGGGGAAGGGAAAGGCGTTTGTAAGCCGCTCTGAGACTCCCTTGGGTAGTGAAGGGCAGGCTATAAATCCAATCTCTTCTCTTCTTCTAAAAGCAGGAGATCACCAGGCCCCACCTGGAGGCTGGCAACCCTACTGGCAGGTAGCCCTACGTGTGGCAGTGTTCCTGCAGCAAGCTGCTGGAGGTGGGCAGTGGAGCTGGGGGGCCAGGCGCAGCGTGTCCGGCTCGGGGAGCTTGGCAGCACCCAGGACGGGCAGGTCTCGAGGAGCAAAAACGCCTTGGTCGGCGTGCATGTGGGTGGGCTCGTTTGCTCGCCCTCAAGCCTTGGCTGCCTTCCATTTGAGTTCTGTTGCGGCCAGCCGCCGCATGTCCTTTGGCTACCCTTGCCAGCAGTGGGTGCTCCTGGAGTCCGCCTCCTCTAATGCTTTGCACCCTGGGGCTGATCACCCTGCCCTTGATATGACTGGGAAGGGGGACCTTTTCCAAAGCTGTTTGGTGGGACAGGGCACCCCACATTTGGGGTGGCGTGTCGTCCTCGGCAGACCCCCACCCCACATTTGGTGGCATGTCGTCCTCGGCAGACCCCACCCCGTGGCTACAGGCCCGGGCAAGGACATCCCCTAGCTGGTCTTGTCGGAGTCCTGGGAAGCCCTGAACCATCAGCAGACCATACCAGGCTTGCCAGTATGCTCGGTGGGCCCCCAGCAGAGCGTTATGCTCCAGCAGTGAAAGCCTCTCGGTGGTCCCCGACCCGGAAGAGATCCGGCGGTCCTCAGTCGCGGCCCCGGGGCCTTTTCTGCCTTGGCCCCCACCTGGTGGAACTTTCTGCCGAAGAACATCCGTGCCCTGCGGGATCTGTTACCTATCCGCAGGGCTCGTAAGGCAGAGATGTAAGGCCTCTTCCACCAGGCCTTTGGTTGAGGACAGCGACGGGACAGCAGCTAAACGGGCACTCTCATACCTCGGGGGAGGCTGCCATTCCCCCCCCTGAAATTAGCCGTCTTGGAACAGGCTGTCTTTTATCAATTGATTGTACGCAATGCCCCCTCTAAATGGTGGAGTCTCGTGAGCAAAAATCCCACCTTGTGAGCTCCCGGCACGAAATTGGCGAGCGGGCCATTGGGCTGCTGTAGAAATCAGTTGGCTCTGGAGCCCTCCTTCCTGAGCTAAGGCAAAAAATGTGCGAGCCGGAGGCTACAAAGCTGTGAGCTAGCTCACACTAACTCAGCTTAGAGGGAACACTGATTGTATGGTATTTCCCCCCCCGGTTTTAACTTAATCTAAATCATCTGTTGTTTTTATTTATTTATTTATTTTCCAGATTTTCTTTACCCCACCCTCCCGGCCGAAGCTGGCTCAGGGCGACTCACATAAAAACAGATAATTACATTAAAACATAAAGGTAAAGGTAAATGTTCCCTTGCTCGAAAGCCAGTCGAGTCCGACTCTAGGGTTGCGGTGCTCATCTCCGTTTCCAAGCCGAAGAGCAACAATATAAAATCATAATAAAGTGCTAGTGGTTGTTAATAATCATACAGCGGTAGCAGCCAGTGCAGAACGCTCTCCGCTCGCAGACAGCTCTCGGTGTTAGTTGGATGTCCCTGCAGGGCTCACTGATCTTTAAGGCTGTTGATGGCAGTTTTCAGGATCCAGGGCCCTCTGCCTTTTAACTAATAATCATACAGCGGTAGCAGCCAGTGCAGAACGCTCTCCGCTCGCAGACAGCTCTCGGTGTTAGTTGGATGTCCCTGCAGGGCTCACTGATCTTTAAGGCTGTTGATGGCAGTTTTCAGGATCCAGGGCCCTCTGCCTTTTAACCAACCGATGTTCTTCATTGGTGGTGGCGGCTCCCAAAGGCCTGGCGGAAGAGCTCCATTTTACAGCCCCTGCGGAACTACAAAAGTTCCCGCAGGGCTCTGATCTCCTCTGGGAGCTCATTCCACCAGGTTGGGGCCACCACTGAAAAGGCCCTATCCCTGGTTGTTGACAGCCAAGCGTCCTTAGGACCCGAGGGGCCAGCCGATTCTGGGGCCCCGACTGCAGTGCTCTCTGGGGAACATACGGGGAAAGGTGGTCCCTTAGGTATGTAGGTCCCTGACCATGTAGGGCTTTAAAGGTAAGAACCAGCACCTTGAAACGAATCCGGTATGCTATCGGCAGCCAGTGCAATGCTTTCAGCACAGGCTGTATGTGCTCCCGCTTCTATGTTGTTGTAAACTGTCCCGCGCCCTGCTTGCAGGGAAGGGCAGTCTAGAAGTCTAAATAAATAACAGTCTGACCAGGATCTGACTGGACAGAAGGGCCCCCCTCTGTAGGTTCCGGAGCAAGCCCTTTCAACCCCTCTTGTGTGGTACATGGCCGCTGTCGCGTCTTGACTCTTTTTCTCTCCCTGCTCCCTTTTCCAGAGCCCAGCAACAGGAAGATGGTGTCCCACGAAGCCATGCTGGGAGGCAAACTGGCCACCAGGATCAGCTTCTCGCTCAACAGATCCACCAGCTTGCAGGCGGAGGACCTGACAGGTGCGCCCCTCTTTCTGTGTAGACCTCGGGGTGGCTCCGGTGGGTTTTGCGCAACAGGAAGGGTGCTCGTTCATTCCTCCTCATCCCTCTTTTCTATAGGGGGGGGAGGGTACAGAGCAGTGGTTAAAAAGGTAAAAGAAGCCACGTTGCATCAGGCCAGTGGCCCACCCAGTCCAACACTCCGTGTCACACAGTGGCCAAAACACAGGTGCCCACTGGAGTTCCACCAGCGGGGCCAGAATTCTGTCGTGGGAAGGGGAAGGGATGGGAGTTTGTAAGCCGCTCTGAGACTCCGAGTGAAGGGCGGGGTATAAATCCAATCTCCAGGTCACAGCTGATTTATGGCGACCCTGTAGGGCAGTGGTGTCAAACATGCGGCCCAGGGGTCAGATCAGGCCCCCGGAGGGCTTCCATTAGGCCCACAGTGGAACTGGCTGTCTTCTGCTTCTTCTTCCAGTTCTGCTGCTGCTGCTGCGTCATCGTAGGTTTGCAGCTTACAGATACACACCTGAACAGCATACTCAGGATTGCAACAGGACAGACATTTTGATGCAGTAATTCAGAGCAAGAGGTGTCCGTTATCAGACACTGTTAAATAGACGAAATATTGCAAGAGTGCTAATGTTTTAAGCATGTTTTTGTGTTTTGTTTTTGTGTTTTGTTTTTGTGTTTGTGTCCTTTACAAATTTTATATCTCCACTACCTGGCGTTACCTTCTATGACACACACGGCCCAGCCCGACAAGGTCTCATTTATGCCAGATCCAGCCCTCATCACAAATGAGTTCGACACCCCGTGTTTTAAAACAATGTCTATTTTAAAAAGCATCCTTTTCAGCTTCACTCCCTGACGTTTTGCGGTCCGTTTCACCTCCTGTGGCGGCCATTTTGCAGTCGCGCATCCCTCCCCCGGGGGTCTGAGTTCCAAAGGTGCCCCGCAGGCTCAAAAGGCTGGGGGACCTCAGTGCTAAGAGCCTGGCAGGTGAGAAGGCGGGAAAGCTGGAGTGAGCCTGGCTTCGTTTGGCCAGGGTCCCGCTGTTCGTGTCTCTGCAGGAGTCCTCCTGACCAGTTCCGTGTCTCTCTTCTCCCTCCTCGCCTTCCCCACCCTCAGGCGCTGCCTTGTATCGAAGGCTCAAGGAGTACGTGATGACCGAGGAGCAGCTGAAGGAGAACGGCTACCCGATGCCGTGTCCCGAGAAGCCTGGCCGGGCCATCTTGTTCACGGTGGAAGAGAAGAAGACGGCCGACAGTAAGTGCTGCTTGGGCCAGTCCGGGAAGGGCATCTGTGCCTGCGGTGGCAGGGTGCACCTAACTGCGTATGTGGGTTTTCTCATGCTTCAGTGGATGGATATGGCGGGTGGGGTGATGGGGCCCCCGCTGGAAGGCCAGCCGGCCGGCCTTCTGTCAGGTTCCCCATTAAATCACTCTTCACACGTACTTTCAGGTTTGGAAAGTTTATTGGAAGATTTGAGACGTGCAGGGATTGAACTCTGTGTCAGGTCTGAGACTTTAAGGCGGGAAAGGGACATATAGTTACTCTCACACATTCCATCCATACACGTCAGCAGGTCTACACGGACCTTACACAGTAGGGCCCACCTCTAGCTGTCAGAGTTGTTTTCTCTCGAGGACACCTTCCCATGAGAAACAGTCGCTTGAGGGCTTCATAGAAAGTTACATCTGCAAGTTAGCCTACCCCTACATGCACTCACGCTCCCCTCCCCGTAGGAATGTAAAGTCAGGCGAGGGGTGAGATAAGAGCATCACTACCCAGGCAAGATACATAGGGAAAGGAAGAAGTTACAGCTATAGGGATAATATAGGAACAGGCAGGGGTCATTTCCTGCAAGAGCAGAGCTCCGGCAGTAAAGAGCCCAGGGGACGAGCACATGCAACAAGCCCCACCCCCTGCTCCCAGCAGCCCTCAGTCAGAGCAAGAAGCAGCCAGGTAAGTTGCAGAGCCCCCCCCCCCGGCCCCCCGGTCCAAAACAGTCCAGTAGCGCCTTTAAGACCAAGTTTTATTCAGGTACAAGCTCTCCCTCCTCTGCTAGGGTAGATCTGCACGTTCCCCCCCCCCCAAATAGCTAGCAATCCAAAACAGTCCAGTGGAGCCTGAGCGGTGGGTGTTGCCTTCTGACACACTTCCGGTGATGTCAGGGGGTGTGGCATATGCAAATAGGTTATGCTAATGAGCTCCTGCACCTCTTTTTCTACGAAATGACCCCTGGGAACAGGTATATGATATTGGAAGGCAAGAATACAAAACCAGCCCGAGTCTGGCAGCCTTCCCACCCTCTGGGAAGTCCGAGCGATCTAATGAAACCGAAGGAGACGGCTCTTGAGGGCTAGAAACTTGAGAATCCCTTGGTGCCGTAATTCACCGGAGTGCAAGTAATGTGAGAAAGGGTCACGGGATTCAGCTGCCTGGGAATTTTCCCGGTCGAGAAGCTGAAAGACAAAGACGGTGGCCCCGATGTTTGAGAAAGTAGACGAGAAGCTGGGAGGGTGACTCATAAGTCTTCCAGTGTTTGAGGCTTTTAAATTTCTGGCACAGGTCTTTTGCACACTCAAAGCTGTTGCAAGATAAAATCACACAGAACCTGAGAGGCAGTGTGGATGGGCCTAATGAACGTGGATGTTAGATTTGGGATAACCAACCCCCCCACGCAGAATTTAACTGCTGAGTTCCCAAAGCCCCTGGAGACCACTGCAGAAAGGGAAGCAAGGCGGAACGAGTGCTTTGCCTATAGAAGTACCTTGCGGTCCTGACTCCAGCCCTGTAAGGCAGGCTACTGTTTTAGCAGAGGGGCCGAGGCAGACAGAAGGTAGGTGGTCCTAGCGAATTTGATAAAATAAAATCGTAACAAGAGGCAGAAACAAGTGTAGTTAACAGACTCTGCCGGTCCCGCTGCAAGTCTGAAGCTATTGAAGCTGATTACGTGTTGGGGGTTGGCGTCCGATTTTGTATTGGATGTCAGTAAGAGTATGAAAACCACAGCAGCTTAAAGGGAACACCCTGATGAAGGATGAATTTTGAAACGTTGTGATGAAACATCCGGACACAACGTTGAAGTATTTAGGAGTTCTCCATTGTTTAGACATCGTAGCACATACCAGTTCTCTGTTGTTTACATTGTGTACTTTTTCACTGTAGCTACTTTGTATACATCATTCTCTATTACATGTTCTTCAGCTTTTTGGCAAGTTGTAAGTGGTGAGTCTGTTAACTACACCTGTTCCTGCCTTTTGTTACTATTTTATTATACAATAGCCTAGTGAATTTGAGGCTGAGGTGACATTCGAAATGGGGGCCTCCTGCAGAGGGTGGCTCATTCTGTTACCCTTGTAGCAGGGGGCAAGAGGCAGGGAATTCCCAAAGGAAGGAAGTGTGACAGGGAAGCCAAAGTGTGAGCCTGAGCCTGTACGAATTCCAAGGCTCAGGGAGGTCAGTGCAAGGCGCCAGGAGTCTTTGGCTGGGGCCCCGGCCTCTCTAGAGCAAGGGTCTCTGCCGCACATGCTAGGAATGGGCTGAGCTTGACAATCTGGAGAACTGGGCTGTGCAGAGACAGCTAGCTGGTCCAGCGCAGGGTTCTTCTTGTAGCAGGAACTCCTTTGCATATTAGGCGACACACCCCTCATGTAGCCAATCCTCCAAGAGCTTACAGTAGCCCCTGCAAGAAGAGCTCAGTCAGCTCTTGGAGGATTGGCTACATTAGGGGTGTGTCGCCTAATATGCAAAGGAGTTCCTGCTACAAGAAGAACCCTGCGCTGGACCAGCTAGCTGTCTCTGCACAGCCCAGTTCTCCAGATTGTCAAGCTCAGCCCATTCCTGGCATGTGCGGCAGAGACCCTTGCTCAAGTAGTAATAATTAGTAATTATCGTATGGCATTGTATGTAGTATAGCCAGGAGATCCTAAGACTGTCTGGCAGTCAGAAGTTCTAGCTCTTTTAGCATTATGCACCACTAGGTGGCGAGCTAGAGTTGTTTTTAGGCAAGGGACGTTTCCGAGGCGGTTTGCCTTTGCCTTCCTCTGTGTCACGGCCCTGGTATTCCTTGGAGGTCGCCCTTCCAATTCCTAGCCGGGGCCGACCCTGCTTAGCTTCCGAGATCTGACGAGGTCAGGCTAGCCTGGGCCGTCCAGGTCAGGGCATGGCACCTAAAATGGCAGGCCCCAAAGAGGTCCATCAGTGGCTATTAGCCACAAGGTATAGATAGGGACTCTGGGGCAAGTGATGCGCTGTCATCTTGGTGCTTGGGGGGGGTCAACAGTG